TTTAGTTGTTTATTTTAGTTATAGTTTTTTTTTACAGTGTATCAGAATATTCTGATAAACTTGTTTTTACTGACTATTACAGCACATTACAGCACATGACTTATGACTCACTTTTAGAGTCACTAATTTTACAATTACTAATAAATGAACAACGTCTCCCTCTCTACGGAGGGAGAACGTTGCGATACAGTTATTGAAGCGTTCGTTTACCACAAGTATGAATTTACAACATGTACTACAACAATTTTCACTTTCTTTTGTCTCTCTACTACTCGCCACTCTCCAGTCTCCAGTCCCACCATGAATATTTTGAATTTTCACTTCCTTTGTATTTGTTTAAAAAACAAGTACTGAGAGAGAGAGAGTCTCTCAGAGCAGAGAAGAACTGACTGTCTCCTTATATTTTGGCTTTTAACACAGGAGGTTCGGCTGCCCCTGAATGGATTATTAGATTTGTTGCTCAGCAGAGCGAGAGAGAGAGCGGGTCATAACTCATATCTCATAACTTACACATGGGTTATGACATTGACTTTGTCATTTGTCCTTATATTCTTCAAAAATACAAGGCCTCTACAGGCTCTACTATAACTAGAGTAGCAATCACCAGTGTCTAAAAGAGGGTTTACGACAATGTCGCAGAATATTGTTTTTAGTAAACGACGTGTTGTATTCTACTAGAGTTTAGGGGTTTTAAAAAGGCCAATGTCTCGACATTTTTGTTTTTCAGCATCAACCTGGGCCCTGGCCCCTGGGGCCCTGGGCTGTTTGTCCAAACAGTTCCAGCCCTAGACGGCCAGACCACAGTCCAGTGTCCACAGGGCCCCAAGAAATATGAGTATAGACTCTCTCTCTACTACTCTCTACTCTAGTATTTATTATTTTAAATTAGAGAGTAGAGAACAAGAGACTCTACTCTAGGCTCTCTCTACAGAGATAGAGAGAGAGAGATAAACTGATAAAGTCTCTAATCTGCGAGAGGATATTGGGGTTTTTTTTAAATATCCAAGAAATAAAAAATCTAATTTGAGTCTTGAAATAGCACCTTTGTCCTATTTCTGAAAACGATTCGTTGTACAATGTACAGTTTCTATTACTTTTGTACAAAATACCTGGTGGCTAAGCTCAATATTACGTTTTCAACTGGGGGTACGGAATAGAAGTTCAACGCAAACGCAAATTTATTCAATATTAAAACGTTATAACGGATATAATGAGATCGGAAGGCCTAAAATGATTTTATAGGACGGTTTGTATAGTAAAAACGGTGAACTCTCAAATTTTTAGACCCGCAAGATGCACCTATGAGCATACAAAGGACCGTATATGGAATAAGAGTTGAACGTAAATGTATATTTACTCGATCTATATATGTTTTAACGGAACACAGTTTGAGGTTAGCCTCTGGTGGGATGTGGAACTTGGGACTTGCTGGGAAGAATGACTGTCCTGATATTGGTTTTTTAAAACAAAACACAACAAAAAAACATTTATTTAAAACAAAAATAGACAAAAGAGCTTATCTCTTGACTCTCGACTCTCGGCTCTCCGAGCTCCAGTCCCGCGTGTGTCCATATTCTGTAATTTCTATTTTTCAAGCAGGGGACTGAAAAGGCTTCTTTTTTACTCTTCGCCTCTGTTAATAGCAGTAAATACGACTACGATTGTTGTTTGAGTGATATAAAATTATAAATATAATTATCTGTTTCAGTATCGAGTTTGTTTGCTCTGTCTTTGGTGTTTGTCAGTTGTCAGTTGTCCCAAATTTATACATATTTTAAAGAAAAAAAGAAGGAAATTTTGAAAGAAAAAACATTATGGGTGGCACGCTGGCTCTGACTGTGGGTCTGTGGCTGTGAAATTGATAACTGTGTATATAACTATGCATGTGACTGAAATTCTGAATGAGTGTATGAACTATGAACTATGATTTATCATTTAGCAGACTATTAGAGTAGAGAGCAAGTCAGTACTCAGCAGGATTGGCAATAAGTACATTGTACTCCTGAGAGTAGTCCTACAAATAGTGTTCTTTATGTTTCATAGTGACCATGTCGCAAACTCGCAACTCGCAACTCGCAACTCGATTACTCTTGCAACTCTCACTGTGAGAGTCTGAGTTAAAATAATACTGTCTCGAAACTCGCAACAATTCTCGCGGTTTGCACAGCCTTGAGCCTGTGGCACAAAGTGTCAAGGCCCAATTATTTTTATATTCCCGGGACTGGGGCGAGTCAGCGAGTGGAGGACAGGCCGAGAGTGGGTGCAGTTCCGCGAGTGCGCGAGTGAGCGCCGGGACTGTTGGGCGTTGCCACGTTGGGCCGACTTGGGCGGTGGGTCGCTTAATTTGAGTGTTCGTCTCTGATTCAGTTACAGGATTTCGGTTGGATTGGCGACTCGTGTGTGAGTGTGAAGTGTGAAGTGTGAACTGTGAAGTGAATTGATGAACAGTTGGCAACCTCTTGAACCTTTTCGCATCTGCTGGTACATATTTTTTATAGCATTTTTTAGCAACAAAATAGCAACAATTCTGGTATATAAATTTAGCAATAAAGAAAGGCGATGTTCATAAATACATTCATTTTAAACGAGATACACCTGACAAATAGTTTAAAATCATCGCAAAGCCGGCACGAAACAGGCAGCTAGCAAGAGTCGGGAAGCAAGAACGATTCTGCTGTAAAGTGTATGAATTTATGTACGCAGAGCTCTTTACTTGAAAGAAAGACAACGAAAATCGACTATGTATAACGACGATTCGATTCAGAAGAAGAATATGAATACACATGATGCAACAGTCACGGCAGAGAATCGATTAGGGCCTAGGAGGTCAGGGCGCTTGGACTTGGGTCAGATTGCTCAAGTACAAACACTTTATTACAATGCTAACATTCGTGCTGTTGACGAGGAGCTATCCAGGTTATTCACGCAATCGTTCGAAAATGTGAAGGTCGAGAGTAGTAGCACGATATGAACGAGTACTTCAAAATAGTTAAGGTTCCTCTGGCTATATTTCTATCGGCTTCAGCTTAATAGAAGTTGAATTCATCCCACCACCCCCACTGTGAGGCTCAGAAGTACTGCACCTTCGGCTCTGGCGTAGCGAAGCTCGCACAACACGGAATCCGTAATATTAGCTCTGTGTCGACTTAGGAACACCGTCTGATAGCGGTTTGATCAGGGGATAGTCTACTGAAACAAGAATACTCGTCACGGATTTTGAAATTCGAGTATGCTTAGTAGGGTTATTTATGCCAGCCTCCGTTCGGGAAAGGCTGGCAACAACAGCTCGTAGTCGTTGCAAGGTCTGTCCAAGAAGCTGTAATCATGCGATTTCTATCAAGATCGTTTAAGAAGGATGGTCGTCGACAGGGTAAATATGTCCATTTGTGCCAAAATACAATTAGCAATCAACTTAGTACAAAATAAAGCAACTTTTCATTTTTCTCTCGAAATGTTTATCGGCTTATAAAAAAATAGTACGAGGTGCATGTCCGGCACAAAAAAATGAAGGCTGTTCTGAAAGAATTGATACTTCTTGCACCTCTATCAACACGAAGATGACTGCGACTCGTCAGGCTGGTTCACATTTGCACAACATAAATTTAGGACGCTACAGCTCTCGGTTGTGACTATAGTAGTCTCCTGAGATAGCAGTTCTCGAGCCCAGATTATTAACTGTTTGATCGCGGAAACTTGACAATGAAGTACTAGATCATATGTCCAATCTTTTCGTCAGCTTGTCTGAGTTTCTTTTTAAGAGGCATATGTCCACTTGTTTGAGTTAGTCTTAGAAAGTTGAGATTCATAATCGATGAACTAGAACCATATATCCATCTCTTCGTCCACTTGTCTGAGTTTATCGTATAAGACATGATTCGCATGGTAATGGTTGAGATTTGTAAACAATGAAGGTCACGGTTGAGATCCATAAACAATGAGTGGTCATGGTTGAGATTCATAAACAATGAAGAGTTGAGGTTCATAAACAAAGAAGAACTAGGTCATACAACCAATCTCTTCGTCCACTTGTCTGAGTTTGTCTTAAAAAAGGCATGATTTGCGAGGTCACGGAAAGTTGAGATTCATAAACAATGAAGAACTAAAACATATATACAATCTCTTCGTCCACTTGTCTGAGCTTATCTTAAAAGACATGTCATGATATTCTGTTTATAATTGCTCCCCGATCGCTGTATATTTATACAGAGGCCCATAGAAGGACAACATGTGGATGCATAAAACTACTACATACATGGATACATATTTAGATAAATACTTAAAACTAACGACTTTTTTTTGAAGTGTCCACTATCAATTGTATTTACCGCACCTCTTGCACTACAAACCTTTCAGACCTATGTCGCATGGAGTAGTATCATTATACGAAGAGTTATATACATATATTTACATACATATATTTATATATATATATATATATATATATATATATATATATATATATATATATATATATATATATATATAATATATATATATATATA